CCAACCCCAACGTAAGAAAATACTTGTGTCAGTTAGTGTTTGTGGAACTCACAAGGTTTCCCGGTCTGTGTTTATGCTGGTTAACAGTGCATGGGAACGAGGAAAAAAAAAGCACAAAAGAAGGTAAAAAAATTGACGTGGGGGGAGGGGGGAGAAAATGGTGATTAGTTGATGTGAGAATACTATTATTGGAGGGAGGCAGGAGGGGACCTTGGGGAAATTAGTTTAATTGGATTATGTTTGCCATTGAGAGAATAAAGCTTTTCTTTCCCCTTGGCATCTCTAGCTTCCTTTTCACCGTAGAGAATCCAATAGATTACATACATATATAAATATATATATATATATATATATATATACACACACATAGCCTCTGTCTCTCTCTCTCTCTACTCTCGAATTCTGAACTGCCATGATCAAACCTCTTACACATCTTATTTTTAGAATCAGCAATGATTTCACTCCATGATATTTAATGCCACGAAAATGTGTTCAAGAATAACTGGAAGCAGGTGATAGTTATTTAAAGTTCTAAGCTGATAAAAATTGTTTTAATTTATTATCTAAAATAGGTATTATTTTCATGTGCAATTTTGTTTTTTTAGTTAAAAGCATGTGTTTTTTGCAGCATATGAAACTAAAACATATAGATATATATATGTATATATATATTTTAATTGTATTAGTAATTAACTAAGGTAATAAATTAGGGAGGAAGTGTATCGCTTTTGAAATCTTCATGGTAGAAATAGATTGAAGCTAAATACAGCTTCATCTTTGGATAAAGATAATGACTACTTTATATCTATAGGCGATGAAGTGTATGTATATTATATATATATATATATATATATATATGTATGTAGAGTAAAATAAATGATTAGTTACCATGACAGCTGCAGTGAACTATTGTTTTTAATGGGTTAATGATTAAAAACATTTCAAGTGATTACTGTAATAGCATATATGACCTATATACAATCTATATATACATAATAACTGAGGATCAAGAGGTGGAGAGTGGGACAAGGTATGTGATATTTGATACTGTAGGACAGGTGAAAATGATTGGAGGTGGTGATATAGACAAAACAAAAGGCACAGGCCCTATCAGATACATACATATATACATACATACATACATACATACATACATACATACATACATACATATATATATATAATATATTAAAACCCTTCTATAGTTTTTCTTGTATTCTTGCTGCAGGTAACTACACAGAGCTATACATATCCATACACAAAAACCTACCATGGCATTGAAAGCTGCTCAAGAATCTCCCACATGTACGTATATAATCTCACTCAATATATAAATTCAATATAAACTTGAAGTTCTTTTTTACTTACAGTGTTTGTATATGATAAATAATTAAATTAATAACATTTAAATCTTTATTTTTACTCAATAATTTTAGCCTTAGTTTATGACTAAAAAATTAAAATATTTATATAAAATCATTAATTAAAATTTTTTATGCATGTGATGATTTAAAAAAAATTAAAACAAAATGATTAACAACTTTAAAACTATGAGGATAATTATAATTAATTATCCAAAATTAATTATAATTTGAGAATAATTAAAAAAACCCGAGCATAATTATAATTAATTAATTATTATTAGTTTGGGATTAAACGTAATGTTAATTAAGAATATTTTAAGTCTTATCGTAAATAATAATTAATTATTACCATGAAACCAGAAAAGCCTTCTCCCTTTGGCGTGTGTTCACCAAATAATGAGTTTCACCTTTTTAAAAAAAATAAATAAATAAATAAAAAGATAAATACGAAATTTTAAAGTAATTTAATTATTTTAATTGAATAAAATATCATAATTTAAAAAATTATTTATTAATTTTTTAAAAACCCTGAGCAGACTGCGGATGATAAGTCGGAGGAAGGCAGGAATGACAATCAAGTCATCGCGCTCTTTATGTGTTAGGCGACACAGAGTGTTACTCTTGGCCAAGACAAAGGGTCGCAATTCCGCGAGAGTAAAAAGACTCCAAAAATTCATCCTTAGTTCAAATTGAAGGTTGTAATTCAATTGTACGAAGTTAGAATCACTAGTAATTGTCGGTCAGCCATACGGCGGTGAATTCGTTCCCGAAATTCGTATGCACCGCTTGTTACATTATGGGAACTGCTAATTCATAATATATATTTATAAAAAATAAACTCGATGTATGATTATTTTACTTAAATAATAAATTCGACGAAATTTATTAATAAGACAAAGAGTCGCGATCCTGTGAGGGTGAAACGACTCTAAAAACTTATCGTTAGTTCAAATTGAACGCTGTAATGCGCATGTATTAAGCTAGAATCATAGTAATTGTCGGTAAGACATATGACGGTGAATTCGTTCCCGAAATTCGTATGCACTGCTTGTTACATTATGGGAATTGCTAATTCATAATATATATCTATAAAATAATAAACTCGATGTATGATTATTTTACCTAAATAATAAACTCGACGAAATTTATTAATAAGACAAAGAGTCGCGATCCTGCGAGGGTGAAACGACTCTAAAAACTCATCGTTAGTTCAAATTGAAGGTTATAATGCGCATGTATGAAGCTAGAATCACTAGTAATTGTCGGTTAGCCATACGACGGTGAATTCGTTCCCGAAATTTGTATGCACCGCCTGTTACATTATGAGAACTGCTTGTTCATAATATATATTTATAAAATAATAAACTCAGATGTATGATTATTCTACCAAAATAATAAATTCGACGAAATTTATTAATAAGACAAAGGGTCGCGATCTCCCAAAGATGAAACAACTCTAAAAATCCGTACTCAGTTCAAATTGTAGGCTGTAATTTGCATGTATGAAGCTGGATTCACTAGTAGTCATCGGTCAACTATACGATAGTAAATTCGTATTCGGACCTTATCACATTATGAAACTGCTAATTCATAATATATATTTATAAAATAATAATTATTCTACATAAATAAATTAATTACTCAATTTAATTAAATTAAGTATTTAAAATAATTATCACCAATTTTACATACTTAATAAAATTCAAATAAAATATAAAGTATTAATTAATAGAATATTTTACTTTTTTTTTTTTTGAAATTCAACTACACTGCAGTTGCTATTCATATATATACATATATATATATAAGATTAAATGAATTAAATTAATGATTGAAATAATAAATATAAAAAACGATACACTCAATTACAATATTTTATATTTATACATACAAAAAGTTTGGTGTAACTTTGAATTTTGGTCTAAAAGTTTCTCTTACCCAAATAGTACTGCACTGCCTGTTTTATTTTCTTCTTGTTGTTTTTGCAAAATAAACATGGAAATTAAAAGAATTATGGTTCTGTTGGGTACGTAAAATTATATATATATATATATATACACACACATATAAAACTTTATTTCATAATTTACATAAAAAGTTATATATTAAAAATATGTTCACTAATTAATATTAAAAAAAAGGGTTCTTGAGTTTTATAATTAAATAAATTTATTATTATTATTATTAATTAATTAGTTAAAATTATTTTTAAACATGATTTAACTATTTTTGTTATTTCATTAGAAAATAAAAAAATTAGAAATTAAATTGTAATAAATATTAAATTTAAATATTAATTTAATAATTTTCCTCCATAACCACAAGGGGTGTGTGTGTGTGTGTGTGTATGTATGTATATGTTTTTAAACGTGTTTTCCTATTGTAAGTAGGAATATTGACTAAGACTTCACTGGTGTGATGCAATTAAAATGATTTTCTTATTTTATAATCTGACCAAAAAGTGAAGAAAATTTATAAAAATACATAATTAATTAATTAATTAATTAATTTTTATTAGATATAGTTAATTATTATTTAACCATATATATATATACACACACACACACACATTTTAAATTAATTATTTTAATGTTTATAACAAATATATAAAATTGGAAATTTTTTTGAAATTATTGAAAGGACAATGCAAAGAAGGAAGATGGCAAAAGACAACTCCTCTCTCTTTCTCTCTTGATATATGATAATTACATTACCATTTTCTTTTGTGTCCTTGAAGAATGACACATATACATATAACACACTATATATATATATATATGGACCCATAAGCTAATTAGAAGGAAAAAGTTTTGTAATAATAGCCTATTAACATAGTTTTACCCTCAACTAACTAAATATTATAAGTAAATTTATAATATATTTATGAAGAAGGAGTTTACCATATTGGATGAATGAAACATGTACATAATACACATAATACATATACATACACACCCAAGCCAATTAATTATATCTAAACCCTCTTGACATGGTTGATGTTTGGTAATTGGTAGAGACAAATAGGAAATGGGTTAATTAGTTCTTGGCACATGTAGTCTAATCATTGAAACCCTATTTTATTCAAATGGTTCATTATATATATATATATATACATATATTTCAATCCAATTTTTGTAAAGTACACAATAATTACAAAAGGAAAAATAATCCCTTCTTAAGGTTTTTATGAATCTCATGAAATTCAACAAAACAAAAATTACAAAACAAAACATGTTTAAAGTAGGAGGGGGACACAAGACAGCTATCATTTTTAAAGGGTAAATGGACCAAATTCTCTATCTCTTTTTCTTTTTTTTTTTGTTTTCTAATCTTGAAGTTTCTTAATAAAATTTTATGATATTAAGGTTAAGTACTTTTTTAATTAATACAAAAGAGTTCGTACGTATTATGTTTAACTTAAATTAACTGAATCATCATCTCGAACTCAATTATTAATGATGGTCTCAATAAATTATTGTTTCGCCAAGTAGTTAATCAAATACGAGCTCCTCTTTGAAACGAATTCTTCTTTATGTTCTTTAACTACGGGATGTTAGTACTAATTTTTAACTGTTGTTCGTCTTTTTAAGGATATGTTCTTATGCGTTACTCAGCATGTATGATATTGAAACCCTACTTCAAGTGAATGCGAGGTAGAAAAACCAATCCCACAGAGATGATGCTTGGATACTCAAAGAATAATATATATGGAACTGAAATTTTCTTATTCGAAAAAGAATGTGTTGATGTTCATTATGAGGTATTGGCATTAAATTGAAGGGTAGGTCATTCCCACCCACTTCACGAGAAGGAGTCCTGCAAAATGCTCAGTGACCCCCGTGATGAAATTATAACCCTGAGGAACCCAATTGCTTGCTATAATTATACCTCATTAATGTTCTGTATATGAAATGGAAAGCAGCTGCAGCTAAGAACAAAAAAACCCAAAATGCACCTATGTGGGTGGGACACATTTTTGTTTATATTGTATATATGTGATGGAGTGCTTGCACAATTCTTTTTGTATATATTGTATATAATTATACCACATTAAGTATGATACTTTCAATTTTGAATTCAGCAGTTTAAATTATACACACACACACGAATCATAATATATATGATTATGAATATTTTAGTCAATTTTTTTGAACTCTTAGCCCAAAAGTAAGAAACAAAATACTTTAGTCAATTATCAATTTTAGTTCTTATATTTAACAATTATTATTTTTTTATATATAGTTACATTCTTTAACAAATTATTAGATGTATTGTAACTTTTTCTTTTTTTTATAAAAAAAAAAAAAAAATAAAACAAAACAAAGAAAGTAGTTTGTAGTTAAATTAAAACGTGTACGTTCGTTATATAAACTTAATTATAATTAATACTTTTTCTAAAGTTTGAAGCATATATTAGGTGAACTTTTTGCGTATTAGTACTTGGATAATGAGATTTAAGGAAAAAGACTTATAAACTCGTATAGTAAAATCGAGAATCGAACGCTAAACTTGATCAATAAATTGAAATGCATTCATGAGAAAGATTAACTTACCATTATCCGTCGTTTCAATTGAAAGCATCGTACAGTAAAATCGAGAATCGAATGCTAAACTTGATCAATAAATTGAAACGCATTCATGAAAAAAGATTAACTTACCGCCATCCGTCGTTTTAATTGAAAGCAAAACGGCCGAAAAGATGTTATTTTCTAAACTTTTTGCAAGTTAAGACTTACTCGCTAGCCTCCCAGAAAAGGGGGCAAATGCTACCATGTCTCCGGGCCATGGCGTCTCTATCTGTGTGAGAAAATAATGCACATCGTTATATTTTCAAGGGTTGTGATTTCAAATTGATGGGGAAATTATGCCCGCGAGACATTATAAGATTTACCCAAAAAGAAAAATGTTCTGAGTGAAGAAGAAGATTATGCAGGGGGGTAAAAAGGGGGGAGGGTTTGCAAAAGAAATTCTGATGGGGGGAGAAATGAAAAAGACAACCCACTAACCGTGCGGTCGTGTGCTGTGAAAACTGAGACGAGAACACATCTTTTTAGGGGGAAAAGAGATGAAGAATAGAGAATTCAATTGGATCCCAAAAATTATTGGTCAAAAAGAGTAATGGCTAAAACCTAATCCCACATTTTTAAGATGTAATTAATCAATCAATCAATCAATCAATCGATCAATCGATCAAATCTCATATTGAGTTTAAAGTAAAGGGCACTTGTTTTTTGAAAGGTGGGACAAACCAGTCTCTACAATTCGAGGAATACAGAATCATTGTTCACGGTTTAAATCAGAGCTGGAAGGCTAAATGGGTACTCTCGAACTGGTGATTTAAAAGGTTTTATACGACTGGAGAGAAAAAAAAAAAAAAATATATATATATATATATATATATATATATATATCATTAGTTCAAAGATGGGTGGTGCTGAAACTGATGTGTCAAACAAGAACAGTCGACTCACACATAAAGTGCATACAAAAACCAGCAATTAGGGTAAGATAGAGAATGTGTGGAGTTGTTAAAGTGATTGAAAGTAAAGGGACAGGAGGTGTCTTCCATTTCCACAACTTTAAAGAAAGGAACCAAAAAAAAAAAAGACATTCTCAAATTTCGGCTCTTTTTACTGCTCTTCCTCTGCAGCCAAAAACCCAAATCAAATTTGAACATAGAATACAGTGAGCGGTAGAATACTTTTCTCCACAGGTGCACTATTAATTTAACCAAAACTGTAGCTGCGGTTTGTTTGCAGTAATCAAATCCTAAACAGGCACGATGTAATGTTCTCAGCAATTAGGTTTTTGAAAACCTGTAGTAGCCACACGAGGCATCATTTCTGTGACTAGATAGAAAAGGGGCAAACTGATTAACCAGTCTAAATACTGTTTGACAAAAGAGTGACGCGAGATTCTCATGGATTATTAACTCACAAAAATAGCAAAGGAATATAAAATTAAAAGGACAGATTAAAGGAGAGAAAGTAGGCATACCTGAGCAGCAGAACTGAAGAGAGCAGAACCAGTCGGTGTCGATGAAGCATAAACTTAGGCAAAACAATTTAATCGTCACCTCAGGAGGCAATTCCACGCCAAACTTATACTAGCGACAGTAGAACTAGACTAACAACATTTTTGAACTAGCAAGAAGATCTACCAATGAGACGATGCACAAGCTGAATAATAATTCAAGTTAATCTAATTACCTGGAACCTTCACAAACTATTCAGTAGGGTCAGCACATACTTATAAATTACGCCATCACTGGCACATTAAACTAATCTAAAATAACCATAATTTCCTTCCTTCCACCTCAGGGTAATTTCCTTACTTTATTGTTTCACACAATCTAGGTTTCCATGATACATTCAAAATAACCATCATTTCCTTCTTTCCACCTCGGTGTAATATCCCTGCTTTATTGTTCACACGATCTGGGTTTCCATGATACATTCAAGAGATACCAGATCAATGCTGGAATCATGTCTTACTCATTCAATCATGACAAGCACTGCAGTTGCAGACCAAACATAAATTCAAAAGCAATCTCGTAAGTAAAACTGCGTATGAGGCATGTTAGCATAAAAATGAAGATTCAGATATAGGAAATGTGCTTATTGGCACATCACAATAAATTACAGATTGAGTTGTTACATGAACTCTGATGATCTGCACTGCCATAGACAACAATGGAAAAAATTGGAGTTCACTTACAAGAATAGGTTCACTGCAGAGGACAAAATGATTAAAAATGTTGATAGATGAAGAGCTATAGATAAAAACTTCAAGCCTCTAATGATACAGCAGAGTCAATCCTTAAACGGTTTAGCCGTACGGTCCCAAGAATATACTCAGGCAACTCTTCTTCCTCTTTTGCCTGGAAATACAGTTATGTCAACATCCAGGTGAAGAATAGGAAGGAGCAAAAAGAAATATAAGATGAACGGGCAAGAATCACAAGAACAAAGGGAAAGAACACAGAAGGCACAAGAAACCAGGATGAAAGTGATGATATATCAGTGACGGGGGAGGAAAGCAAAAAACACAGAATAAAATCCAAGAAAACAATTCTCAGTTCAACATTATTTCAAGTTGTTTACGTTAGTAGCCTTTGTAAATATGGTAACTATAGCAATAACTGTCACCACCTGCCACAGCGTGACTATAATGAAGAGGAAATAAAAAGCTTTTAAATCCTCAAACAAATTAAAGATCTCCTAAAGCTAGATATATATCCTTGATAACCTAAAAACATATAAACTACTTAAATTTACATTATTATTGGTAATGTCAAGGATTTCACTTTATCTGCTCTTAGCGGGTTTTGGAGGAGGAAAGAGAGGTTGGTTGTGGAGGAGGGAGATTTTTGCTGGTTTGTGGGTCATGTTGTTGGAAAGGAACAAAGTAACTGCGCAGCCTTGTTGTACTAATGTTATTTTATTTTTTTCGTTTCCTTTCCTTGTTTGGATTTTGCTCTCTTGCCTTTGATTGGAGATTATCTAGTTATCCCACCTTCCCACCTTCCCACCTTCCCACCTTGTACCTTCTTTTCTCTAATGATATTTTTTCTTTTATAAAATAAAGAGAAAATAAAGTATCAATTCCAGGTTCAATTTGTAGGGCTAAACAGCACAGTCATTGAACCAAAAAAGAAAAAGAAAACCTAGTACTAGTACGTAGTCCAGCCACAAAAGCACCAAGCTTATTGTAGTCGGGCTTTAACAACACTCACAGTCTGATGTCAAACCAGCAGATAGATAAAACGCAAGAGAGTACCATAAGACAAACTCATTTGGGACCTAAGAATGAAATCCCAGAGTTATTCTAAAATTTAAGGTACTTTCACCAAGTAAACTACATAAAACACAAGATACAAACCTCTATCAAAATGGCAAGATCAACGATTAGACTTGTAACATATCCAAGTACAAGACCCATAACTCTCCTTGCTACAGATGATGATCCAATATCTACGTCAATCTGCACAGTGAACATTTCAGTAAAATTTCTGGTCACGATATAGAAGTAGTAACCCAAGCAATGAATAGTGAAGTTTCCTCTCTAGCTAACCAGAAAGATCATGAATAAGAAGGTGTTCTAAACAATATTGGAAGTGGTCCCAAGGATAGAACTAGAGGAAATATTCAAGAACAAAAAGTTACTAGATAATATATAAATTTCTTATCAGAATCTCAAAACTGAAAATATAGAATCTGAATTAGTTTCTGAATTGGAATTATCTTGGAAGTCAAGGGAGAAAACTGACAAGATGATCTCAACACTCTTTAAGGGTTTATGATTTTGCTTTCAATATAGAAATCAATGAAACATCAAGTTTGAGCATAATTCAAGTACACAGAAAGCAGTAATAGGAAAAATAAGTAGAGCTAACACTACGGCAGCATTATTTTCCCAGATCAATAGTCTACAAGCCATTCTTTCATAGTAGGGCTTGAGCATCTGGTGTTTTCTTTTTTATGGGGTGGGGGGGTTTGAAGAGGAACAGACGAAAATTAGAACAGCACATGTGCATGAAGTTGTATCTATGCATCAGTGACTTGGGAAGAAGGCATCTTAGTCCATCTTATTCTTTAGAGTGAGAAGGCATCTAAGTCAATGCTATACCTACAGCTCGAGGACTTGCCTATCTAACATAAGTAATTCAAAAAGAAAAAAATAAGTTACTATCTAATTGTGAATGCTAGTTAATTTTTTTTTAACGTTTTGAGAGTGTTGCTATCAATATATAGCCAAATTCTTGGAAAATTATCAAACTAGCTATCAGAAATTTCTGTTTGAGAAGTATTGGTGGAAAACTGTAAACTATTAGATAAGGTTCTCAGGATTTTAGGTTATCAATAATATTGATGAGATAACAAAACAGAGGTTATGAACTCTACAG